GGTTTGCTTGGCGATCCTCCGTGGTGGAGCTGGTATAGTTATTGGTGTTGCTGAGATGGTCATGATTATAGGTAGGTGATCGCTGGAGGTTACAGGGCTTTGTTCAAAGAGATAGTTGTGGAAGCATCTGCCATTTGTTATTGCTATATCTGGAGTAGTGGCTGAGTTCCTACTGTAGAACGTGGGGAAGTCTGGGCCTATTAGCTGGGCTTTTTTGTCTGTTATGAAGCCAGCGAGGCCTCTTCTAACATTGTTGGTTATCCTCTTATCATCTAGTAGAGGATGTCTGGCGTTCATGTCCCAATGATGTAGGTTGGGTGGTGGTATGATAGGAGTCTATGGAAGTCCCCATAAGGCAGGTAGTCCCTGCGTGGTGGGAGGCAGGTTGTGGCTATTATGATTGGTCCTTTGGTCAAGTTGATTTGAACAGCGAGAGTTTCAGAGGTGAAGTCGTCTACGATTCAGTGGTGGACATCTCTTTTTATAGCGATGGCCACCCCATCATTTGGCTCCTCTGATAGATTGGATTTCTGGATCCTGTAACCAAATATTTTTAGTTCCTCAGCCGCCTTTTGGCCGTGTGAGTTTATGAGTATAATATCTGCGTCAACTTGGTTGTATTGGCTGGACAAACTGCATTTATTAGTTCTCCAGTGGAGGACGTTATGTTGCATTATTTTCACTGCCTTACGTAGCGAGTCCATTGTATCTTGTTTTTGGTTTTGGGGGGATCCCTCGGATTCGTGGTTTGTTCACTGTGCGTCCATTCCTCAATTTTTTTATCATCCCAACGGATGACTTTTGGATGCAGTTTGTTAAATCGACCTGTTTTTGTTTAATGGCCTCGAGGATGTCCGCCTCGGAAATGGGGTGGAAGTACTTCCATTTCATCTTGTAATCAATTACTCCTTTAGCGACTTCACCACGTGAACAGTCCTCGCTGATGTGGTCTGGTACGTAGATGCGTAGTTTCAGGTCTTTACCTGATAGATCGCTTGGAGTCTGAGAGACAGGTGTCATCTCCGGTGTGGGTACTTGTTCATCCACATCAGAGACTACTTTTGTCTTCTCTGTGCTAGTTGGAGTCTGAGAGACATGTATAATCTCTGGCGCGGGTACTTGTGCACCCACACCAAGGACTACTGTTGTCTCCTCCGAGGCTGAGGATGTTGCCTTGAACAGTTTTGGGATGGGCAAATCGTGGTGGCGTAAGCATTTTTCGAGTATTGTTTGAAAGCAGCCTGGGTGCAGAACATCCTCCTCATGAGAGTTTTTGACAATCATGTTGGCTAGTATGTCACGGTCATAGAGGTATTTGTCTCTGGCAGTCAACAAGACTGTAGAGTCTGTAGTGACTGCAGAAGTCGGGGTCCCTATCGGCAGCACAGCCTTGTATGGTGATACTGATGTTTTTGTGGCTTTTTGTTGTGCTTCCTTGATTTTTTCTTTTCTTTTGGGACAGTTCATGGACATAGTGCTGTGAGGCCCATCACAGTTAAGGCATTTTAGTGGTGCACTACATTGGGTCCAGGTATGTTCCCTAGAGGTACATTTAGAAAAGATCTTGTATTCTCTGGGTTTGGGGCAGTTCACACTATCATGATCCTCAATGGCATAGCACCTGAGGCAGGTACGTGTATGGTGGTACTGTTCCTGTTTTATTTGGTGGTACGGTATACTATAGGTGAATGCGAGGAGACCTGATTTGGTTGCTTTATCAGCAACCTCGGTGCTTTTGAACTGAATTTTGATTATGCATTTGCCTTTTTTACTGGTGAATTTTTTGACATAGTCCACCTTGTTATTCGCCCAAGCGTTTTCTTTTTCAATCGCTGCTTTTATTTCCACTTCAGACTCTTCGTGCACGGATTCATCCGTTTGGAAGCAGAGAACAGTTCTTTTAGCCTTCAAGGCAGGAGGCAGGATTGGGTCATAGTACTCTTCCCTAGATTGTCTATACATCTCTGGGACCATAGGTTATCAAGGTCTTGGTCTTCAAGCATGAGCATGATGAAGCCATATTTTGCTTCTATTACGTTCTGGTACCTGACATTGTATTTGCGAACAATTTCTGTCAGCGTCCGCTTGGTAGACCTGTCTAGTGGCCTCTGGTCTGTGATTAGTATTTTCGCTTTGACAGTCATTATTGCTTCTTTGAGTGAAGCACGATAGATCGCCGCAAGTTATGTGCGTAGCCTAGGACAGTGAATAGAGCTGTCAGTCCTACGTTCCCTATGCCGGCAAGAAAGAAGGCCGGGATATCAGATGCCCCACTGTCTTGGTTGAAGGTTTTAAAGACCACAAGGGCAGTTAACTCCCAAGAACAGCAGTTTGGTATGGCGAAAAGAAGAGGTGAAGATTCGGATTTGAAATGGTGTACAAGTGTGTGATTGTGGAATTGTCGCAGCGTTTGGCACATGGCACTGGCTATGCGTGGTGGTGGAGCGGGACGGAGGGTGAGGAGGAAGGACCCACGACTCCTTACGCCACTGCCCCCCCCTCACCCCTACTCCCACAAGGCGCGACCCCACGTCACCCATTGACCCACAGGCGCCAGTAGGGTCGGCGGAATATGAAATAAGGCCCTTAAAGCACCCATATATGAGACAGGGAAGGATGTCTAGTGCTTTTACCGATAGGCAATAACTAACCCGACACAACCCTAACACACTATTAGCATAGCTAGGCGGTCAGCCCGCCCTCTCTTACCTCCTCCTAAATTTCTTCAGTTTCCGAACTATAACTTCCTTCCCCCTCCTCTAATCTTCTTTCACCCTTCCTTTCTCTACAAAAAAGGGGCAACACCCACACTCACTCTTTCTGAACTGTCCCACGCCTCCTCCTCCTCCTCCTCCTTTCTCAAGTCCCACCACATGTTCTACAGAGTTAGAATATACTGTGTGAACATGTAGCAATGTTTGATAAGAATGTAGTAACGTGAAAGTCTTGGTCCACAGTCGTTGTCCTCAGCAGTGTAGAGGTCAAACAGTTAAAGTTAAATAATTTTTTGTTTCCCTGCAGCGGGTCTGTCCATACACGTGTGGGCAGGTCATGGAAATGTCCCTCACCCCTGTAGTAATAATAATACATTAATCGTATATAAGTGGACTTTAGAAGTAGTTCAGGATATAGAACAGATTGGAGTGTCTGCAAGAAGTCTCGTGTATTTTGTGAATCTGGTCTTCTGGAAGTTGATAATTATAACACTAACAAAAAGCGCTCTCTCTCTTTCCCTCTCTCTATCTGGTGATATTTTGGGGACTGAAAAAGATTCTTTATATTAATGCAAGCTGTAATATGTAGGAAACATAAGATGAGTTCTGGAAGCCCCCACACACTCACACGCCCCCTTTCCCTGCTGGACCTGATTAAGTATTGTGGGTTTAAAACAACGTTGCAGAATGTGTAATGGTTAAAGCCGTGTGTGGAGTTGAGTCAGAATGCTGGTCGAAGGAGAAAAAATAGGATCGGAGCTGACAGTAGGACGGGGCGTGGAGGGGGGGGATGAGGGTAAGGTGACTGAGACCCGCACCTTCCGGGAACAAGTAGGTCAAGAAGGTGTAGAGGAGGAGCCTTCAGTAATATCGTGATGAGGGTGAAGGTGTAGACTGGGATGGAGGTGAGGATGGTCCACCACCTCCACTTACTGCAGGACAGGGCAGTGTGCAGGGGCAGGAGAGTATAGCCGCTTCAACTTCCCTCTCTAACTTTCTTTCCCTGGTTTTGATTCTCACACACACACACGCACACACAAACACACACACACACACACACACACACACACACACACACACACACACACACACACACACACACACACCTTTCCTCGCTCTTAGTCAAGGTCTATCACATCAGCTGAGGTGAAATTTAAGAAAAATGAAAATCACTTCAGAAATATTTATGCTTCAGTAGATATCTTCACCTCGGCCACGTTGTTTAATATTCCATCGGTGTCTAGTAGTGTCTAACTTATCATCAGTCATATTCAAACGATTGTACAGTAGTTAGAGTCTCTAATTGCTGGGGGAGGGGAAGGGGGAGGCGGGGATGCCAGTACCACATTATTACACAACGGCGGAGAGGGGGAAGAGGTACTGACCACACAGCTTCAGCAAGTAAAAGGTGGTGCAGCAATTGGATACTTGGGGGATATAATCTTAGGGACGACCGCTAGTGAGACCAACACCCACTCACAGCTGACGAACCTCCGTTGTCACTACTGGAAGAGATACACCGTCATCCACCACCACACTACACCATCCACCACACCACACCATCCAAGACACTACACCATCCACCACACCACACCATCCAAGACACTACACCATCCACCACACCACACTACATCTTCCACCACACCATCCAACACACTACACCATCCACTGCACTACACCATCCACCACACTACACCATCCACCACACCACACTACATCATCCACCACACTATCCACCACAATACACCATACACCACACCACACCATCCACCACACCACACCATCCACCACACTACATCATCCACCACACTACACTACTACAGAATGGATATAGAATCCCGAGAAAGAATTCAAAGGAGGATGACAAGAATAATCCCGGGCATTTGGAACCTTAAGTACAGAGACAGGTTAAAGCATCTTAATTTGCACTCCTTCGAGAGACGTAGAGTGAGGGGCCACATGATAGAGGTGTATAAATTGAAGTCAGGGCTGAACAAAGGGGACATTACAAAGGAACTCACACTATCCAACCAGGAGCAAACTCGTAACAGTTGCTTTAAATTAGACAAATTTAGATTTAGACTCGAGATAGGTAAACATTGGTTTGGAAATAGAGTAATGGACGAGTGGAACTAGTTACCAAACATCACCATTAATTCGAATACGCTGGATAGCTTCAAACATAGGTTGGATGGATATATGAGCGATAGGAGTTGGGTGTAAATGGGACTGCCCAGTATGGGCCAATAGGCCCGCTACAATTTTCTCCATTCTTTTGTTCTTAATTTAGTCGGCGGAGTGGACATCCAGTACCGGATGAAGGGACTTTTCAAGATAAGACAATTCCAGGCAGGAACAAAGGAATCGGCAGCTTCCATTACCGAACTTCAGTGTATAGACGAACTGACCCTCGTCGCTCGCACTGAACGCGATATACATGAGATCCTGAACACTTACGCAGATGAGTATGCACACTTCGGCCTTGCGGTGAATGCATTAAGACTCAGATTCTCCTTCAGCCTGCCCCTGGTTCAACCACACCTCCACCATCCATCCAGTTTAATGGTAACTACCCTCTAATGCAGTGGTTCTTAACCTTTTTTGTGTCACGGACCCCTTTGAGAATCTGGTGAAAGCTATGGACCCCCTCCCTAGAAAAGTGCACATAAGCTCATAAACACAACTTTGCATGCAATGAATATACAGGGTGTCCCATAAATTTCCATACATAGGAAAAATAAATTTTATATGAAAATCCATTTTTATTTATATAATATGCTCTACATGACTACCATTCTGTTGAAAACACTCTTCAATGCGTGTCCTCCACTGCTGAAGAACACGTTCAAGCACAGCTGGAGTTATGCTTGTAATGGCGTTGGTGATACGTTGTATGGAAACTTATGGGACACCCTATACTTTATTTTATTGAAAATTCATTGCCTCATACAGTGTATGACATACACAAAGTATAAATAAAGTAAACAATCTTAACAATGAATTATGTTTCACACTTCTTATGCAAAAATTAATGGCCACTCGATACAAAAGTGAAATACAATCATCTTGTGCAAATTAAACAAAACAAAACTTTAATTCTGCTGAAAAGTTCATTTCAATGAGAAGGTTGTTGTTGTTTGGCTTGAATAAGAAGATGAAACTGTGGAGTGTTCTTTGACAAGGTAACACGCATGTCATCTTTGACATCCAATCGATTTCGACTTTTCGTTTTGATAGAAACAAGTGCTGAAAACCCTGACTCACAAAGGTATGTAGTAGCAAACGGAATCAGAGCACCCATAGCTCGCTTTACCAGACGAGGGTAGGCTTGTGTCAACGCACACCAGAATTCTCCAAGGCTCTTTGAGTTGAATTCATTTCGTAACATTTCCTTTGTCTTCAGGTCAATGAGGTCATCTTTGGCAAGGTCTTCATCACTCATACAGTCTATGTCAGCAAGGAAAGGATTACGAATCCATGTTTCAACTTTAACGTCACCTGAGCAGAAGTAACCTTTGAAAAGAGTTCTGCAGAGTATCCAGATGTCTGCAGAATTCTGCCTGCAGAGAAATTGACAGGGCCTTGTCACTCTCGATTCCATCCTGCAGAAGCACTTCCTCTAACAATGGAAAGTTTGCATAGTTGTCTGCCTCCAACATCCTCTTCCACAGTGGGAGCTTGGCCGGAAAAGCTTGCTGTCTTTCAGTAGCATCTATAATGGTGACTTTAGGGCCGTGAATCGCAAGATTCACCTCATTCATATGGCCAAAAATATCCGCCAAGTAGGCCAAGCCATGAATGAACTCCTCACTGTCAAACTGTTCTGAGAGTGAGCTTTCTTTTTCTCTCAAAAAAAGTGAAACTTCTGCTCGAAGTTCAATCAAGCGCTTCAAGATTTGCCCTCTGGAAAGCCAGCGAACTTCTGTGTGGTAGAGAAGAACTTCATATTCTGCTCCCATTTCTTGACGAAACCTCTTGAAAACGTGATGGTTCACAGCCCTGGCTCTGATGAAGTTGACGACTTTCACGCCAGTAGACAAGACTTCTTTCAGAATTGCTGGCAGTCTTTGACGCCAATGCATGCCGATGTTGAAAACAATGGGTCACGATGACCTGAGGAGCTTCTTTCTTCACCAAAGTAGCAAATCCAGATGGGTTGCCAAGCATCGCAGGTGCTCCATCTGTGCACAGAGTACCAAGATTTTTCTTCCAGTCGAAGTTTTGCTTGGCAAAGAAACTATTCACCATTTCTAAGGTGTCGATGGCCTTTGTAGTTTCCAAAAGGGGCTCACAAAATATGAATTCTTCTTTGATGGCATCAGCATGCATATAACGGACGAAAACCAGGAGCTGGCTGCACTGAGAGACGTCAGTAGTTTCATTCAGTTGCATGCTGAACAGAAATGACGTAGCTGCCAATTCTTCCATTACTTGCTTCAGAATATTAGAAGAAATGTCAACAATTCTAGAGTGGATGACGTCATTTGACAAAGGCACTGCTGCAATTTTCTTCCTCTGCTCCAAGCCACAAACCAGCTCGACCATTTCCAGGGCACATGGCTTTACCAAGGTCTCTCCAAACGTATGTGGCTTCTTTTGCTTGGCAATGCGATAAGCAACCTTGTAGGATGCTTCAAGACAAGGCTTTTGTGTTGGGGCAAATCCAAGTTTTGGTAAAGTTCCAGCTTTCTCAAATCGAGCCTTCTTTGCACGAAATAGATCAACACTGCCCGATGCATTTTCAGGATGGACAGACATGAGGTGCTCCTTCAGCTTTGTTGGCTTCATGCTTCCATTGGCAAGAACCTTGCCACACAGGAAACACTGCGGCTTTTGTGTCCTATCACGTTCAGCGATGAAAGTAAAACCAAAGGATAAGTAAGCTTCGTTGTACTTCCTTTTATTTGACATTTCCAAATTGAGCTAGGCCTGCAAAACAAAAAAAATTATGTAATTTATATGGAGAGCAATAACTAATGAACACAAATTAATAAGCGCGACAGATCGACCGGCAGAAAGACAGGTCGACAGATAGACAGGCATTATTATGGATTTCTCAAGGTTCCCCTCAGAAAATATATGAATGATACTGACTGATGACTTCGTGTTTTCCTGCCCTACTGACGCACCCAGACCCTAACTTTATCCATTCTCTCTCTATTTATGCATCCCTACTCTAACTACGTGCACCCAGTCCCTAACTTTCACCAATAAATAATAACAGACTTGTTGTAAATAATGGATAAAACAAATAAATACAGCGCACCAACCTGTTTTGGTTTTTCACAACACTCGCACGCGCCTTTCTCCACATGCACCCACATACGCACAAACACATATTCACACACTGTACTCCCATCACTCTTCAGCCACACTCTGAAATTGTGGTCAGAAGGCGGTCGGAGGTCTCCAACCTCGGCTGGTACAGCTGTAGTAATAATAACTAAGGCCCTCTTTCGCTATCTTCACCAAAAATATAACAAGAGGTAATTGAATATATTTAGGAAAAAGTATGTGTTTGAAGATACTATGGCCCTCAGTTAAGCCTTACCAGTATATAAGAAGCTTCCCAAGCCGTGATAAACCGTGGAAAATGAGAAATAAGCACTTAATGTGGAGTGGCTCAAGATGGCGGTTGTGCAGAGAACGATGCTACCAATTTAAATGGTAAACATGGGCGCCATCAGAGACGTGGTCAGCGCTATAAGCAGTGGCAGGGTACGTTTTCTTTAATTTCTTTCAATGGGCAACTATTCTAGAAGTCAAAACCTGACGACGATGACGATTGTATGTTACCTGACCGTGTACAGTAGCATCCCATTCCACCCTACAGATTTACTGGTTTTCTTCAATAACCACAAATACATACATAGCATCTGGTATATATTGACAAAAATAGAACAACTTAATATAAAAATATAGTGAATATAAATGTTAAGTTTTTATCTGACCTTCACGAACCCCCTGAAGCCCATCCATGGACCCCAGGTTAAGAACCCCTGCTCTAATGTTACCCACTTTCAGTATCTCGATGAAGGGGCTCAATATCGGATCATATGTGCATCTCAAGCCTTTGGCAGACTCCGTACCCGTGTGTTCAGCTGTAGGGAGCTGGAAATATATACAAAGTTGTACATTTATTGAGCAGTGTTTCTCCTCACCCTGCTATCTGGCAGCGAGACATGGGTCATATACAGGAGGCACTTCAAGGCAATTGAAAATTTTCACTAACGTAGTCTACATTCTATCCTCCGGGTTTGCTGGGAAGACAAGAGAACAAATGCCAGTATTCTCGCTGACGCCAACTACGTTGGACTGGCCATGTTAACAGCATGGACGACAGAACAGTAGACTGCTAAAGCAACTACTTTACAGTCACCTAACGAATGTTAAACGTAACGCTGGCGGGCTACGGAAAAGGTATAGGTATAGTCTTAAGAAAAACCAGAAAAAGTGCCAAATCGACCCCATCACCTGGGAGACGAGCACTCCACACCTTAAGGCTTGGAGGAGCACCACACGAGAAGGTCTCAATACTTTTGAGTTAGCCCGACTGCATACCGAGGCAAAGAAGAGACAGCGCCCCTCCCGCACTAGATGTAGCCCTCCACACATGCAACATTTGTGGACGAGCCTGCCGATCCCGAATTAGCCTTTCGAGTCATACCCGAATCCGAGTAACAACAAAGTAGCAGTAGTGTGTGGAGGGAAGGAAAGAGTGGGGGGAGGGGGGGCTGTGTCTTATTTCTACCTCTAAATTTATATCAAACTAATATTAGTGAAGACTAGAATACTCTTTCAATATACTTCATAAGCGTAAATATTATGTTACGATAATCATTCAACTCATTATAAAGACAAATGCAATCCCCCCATGTTGGACCCAGAGGAGGCTCGCTCACATGCTAAACTCCCATACTACATCAATCAATCTATGAGAGCATAGGTAAACAAAGAAGCATATAAAACATTAACGTTGCTGACACATGTAATAAGTAAAATATTATCAGGTTGCTTTGGGCTACCGGTAGACGAGGTAAAACACTTTGGCTGCCAAGTTCATAACGCTCATGGAATCTTCTAACTGAATCGTTTAATAGACTTTCATAAATGTCATAGTTACGGAATATTATTGAATACAAATTTTCCTACTGCCATGGCTCTGGGAGAGGGGAGGATGAAGGTATAATGAGTTGTGAGGATTGTCTCCAATATTCTAGCAAGTTTTAACAAGACGCAGAGGTCTCCAAACACACTTACTTTTAAAATAAATTTGCCTGTGTGTCTATGAAGTAACTTCCATGGTGTTATGTTGAATAATAATATATTTACCTGTATGGTGCCTTGCTAAACGTGAACCTGCACTGAGCCATAATCAGAGAGGGACCTGTGTGTGGCTACGACTACTGATCAACCTGTAAATAAGAGCAAGCGTAAACCGCTCAATAAATAAACGGAGTAAGCTAACTGTATTAATACTATACCCAAATAGGAAATTCTTGCAACAGGTGGACCTACTGCAAACGGTCTTATCATTGGCATTCAAAAATGTATTATTATTTAAAATAAACGTAGTTTACCTCCTACTTTGTTATGTGTTTTTTTTAAAGTTACATAAGATTAATAATTTGAAGCGTATGTAAATACTGTAGAACCAAATACATCCGTTATTTATTGGGACTTGAACGTCACCCTGTCATAAGAGGACACCATATTGAGACTCCAGTCCGTCCGTCCCCCTTTCACCCCTAGATTACGTGGGAGTTGCATAAACAAAAAAAAATAATATGCATAGAATCACCCCGACCTGTAGAACAAGCTGGCAATACCAGCCTAATGTGCGGTAATACATTCTAAGCATAATTTGTGTTTTGCCTTATGTACTTATATCCTTGTTTAATACATACTGCTTTGTAACTACAGAAGTAACTCGTTAAACCTTTCCCACCCCTTTAGCCCCGAACACCCTCCTCAAGCCCCATAACCCACCATCTGTATGATCTGCATTTGGACTAAAGTATGTCGGAAAATCTCTAAGATTTTAGTGATTGTTCTTCCTACCCTGATATGATAGCGTAAAATACGTTATGTTCTACTCACACAGTTAACGTGTAAGGTAATCTCTTTTATTGCTTCTTACGTCTGGCATGTGATTCTAGTTACTTGTCATCTTAGGTAATGTGTGTTCTGGGCTAACATCATCGTGATTCGCCTTAGTTTAATGTTCACACAAGAGTTGATCAAAGGATAAAAGTTTATTATTAATTCAATGAAAATCGTCGACATTTAAGAAATTACTTTATAACCTTCCACGCTAGTACAATATAATGTATACTGTACGAGGCGATTATTAATAGTAAGGTTTACTTCGCTACTAATGCGTATTTATATATTAATCTCGGTGAAGTGGTATTGAACACTGCGTGGTGGAAGCGTTCTATGACCCCTGACTTGGAGAGTGGAAAACAGTCGAATGACACTGACGGACTCCCAAGGTTTTCATTACCTACCCGAACAACCTAGAGGTAATTAACCCCTGATCCGACTGCACAGTGGGCATTAGAAACACTACCTTAGGGAACCTGTCTTCTTTTTAACCCGTTCACTATTGGATGTAACTTTTAACCCTTTATTGCTCTAACACCATACAATTTTATTCAGCACAGAGAGACCCCTCGTACCCAAGGGTTTAAAAACAGAATATGAAAACAAGGTTAATGTATATGAAATAGGATAACGTTGCGGTCAGTGAGGATGTCCTATATATCACACATTGTTAAAACAGGGTCAGAGGTGGTTAAGGAGGATTATTTCCTGCAGATAAGTGTCTTACATTACTATTGACTGACGCCATAAGATTGTATTTATAAAAGAAGGTACTGTACTATAAAGAGAAGTGTACCCAGCAGCTTGACCGATTACTGTTATCAATTCAATTTCAATTGTTTATTCCTTGATAGAGGAAGCGGGATCCTAGTGCTGTCACTAGGTACCCCTGTATAATGACACCAAAAGCATCTGGCAAGTGTGACAAGTATATACAGTATAAATATTATTAAGGGGCTTACTAAAGCCTAAGGAAGGAAGGATATTCCTTTAACACATAATCAATGTTATTTACAAAATATCTGGCCAGTATGGGGAGGATCATCGTGTCTCCGTCAGGGGGTCGTGGAGTGGTGGTCCAGCAGGCGTCACGGAAGCGTTGTGTGTGGGGACATCTTAGGAGGTAGTGGATAAGGGTGCTGCTGTCGGGTCTTCTGCATAATGCTTACTGTTATCTAAGGATTATTTGCCCCTACCGATTGGGACAGTTTCCCATTGCGCTACTATCGGGTTAACCCTTCGTAGGGCAGCAATTTCTCTCAAATTAATAAAATCATTTGACGTTAGCCAGAATAAAATATCTAAGTCAATGTTTTATCCGCTATCTTCTGCCATCACAGCTGACCTTTTAAAGCCAACGAACCCAACGGACAGGAAAGAGAAAACAGTTAGTATAAGTTACGGAGTGAAATTAAAGAGGATTATTGTAAGTAAGAAGGATAACTGTTACGACCTTTGTCCTCTTAGGTTGTAACAATGCACAAATTCAACTTATCTTTGTATTATTCATAGGGTTGAGTTAACTCTATCATTATGGTTATCTCTGTATCGAAGGTCCAAGCAATAGATCCCACCAAAATCATCACCTCATTCCTATGGGCTATATTGAAAATCATGAAGTACACATATTAACAAATAAACAATAAATATATCAGTTATGTACAAAGATAAAACAAAGACAAACTAAATCTGATCAAACATAAAAAATCCTTATATAATATTTGGTGTTCTTAAAAGTCGAGCAAGGTTTCCACGTTATACCACTATAAATATATAAGAGGAGAGGAGATACTTATCTTATGACTGCCAGCCCAATACTAAAAGCCACCAGGCTCTTGGGAGGTATAACTAAGCGAGCAGAGGCGGGCGGAAATGACGTCGCAAACAAAAGACGTTCACGTTGCGAATCCGCAAACAACCACTGAACGCTCACTCGTTCATAAGTATTCGGAATAATATAATAAACATTACATTGTTTTACTTAACACATAGAAAACAATGTTACATTTCAAGCATAACACATAATATCTAAATTTTAACTGCTTCAGTGTCCACACAACGAATCATTCGAAGTTCATTTGCCTACCAGTAATCTATTCATTGGTTCTTATTTCCGACACTCGTAACAATAACTGATTAAGACATCTTAACTAAAGGATCATTTGGCATAGGCTGGATATTGTTTTCATATGTATTTGTACAATCGTCCCCCTAACGAAATAATGTCACGGTTTTTAATAGGATTTCTTCAAACAGCGGTATCAAACAGGGAGGTACATTGTGGTTATGGGATATTTGTGTTCTCACTCAGGATGGGATGGAGAAAGGAAACTCACAATGTGCTCTCTGTATACATGTTGTATTGGATGTACAATGGAGCTTGGTGCTGGGAAGGCAGCATGGTTACAAGCGTGATGTAGAGAGAGCTGGTTGGTGAGGATGCTCAGAGGAGGACAGCTTGTGGGTCGCCATGCTCGCCGACGGGAGCGAGGACCGCCAGGCAGGCGGAGGAGGAGGAGGTGTTGCTGGTAGGTAGAAAGAGAGCGGTCACCACGAGGTCAGGTCTTAAATAGCGGAGGTAGGCGTGGCTTAGTAGTTGACCTCCGTCATGTAAGGCGGCGCTGGTTGACCCAGACCACGAGGCATACACTGGGGAATTCGCGGGATCGGCTACTCAGCGACAAACAGCGTTTGTAGGGGAGAAATCTACTACAATACTCCCTCCTTCCCTCCAGGCGGTGTAAGAGACTTGTTGTCTGCAGGGTTGCATGGCACATGTGAGGCAGAACGGGCGGTGCATGCCACATGTGAGCCATAACGGCGATGGCGTGGATGAGCCGGCAGCTGGAGGAGACAACTGTCTAGATTCACAATATCTGTGGGAGTAGAGAGGGAGAAAAAGGGTGTGTGGAGGCGATGAATGTTGTGCTTCCCTCACGGCAGGTACAGAGTCGTCAGATGCGCCTGCTGGGGTGTGTGGGCCTGGGTCAGGAGCAGGGGCTGTGTCAGCAGAAGCGGATGAGGGCTCGTGACAGCAGCTGGGTCCACGACAGCAGCAGGGTGCAGGACAGTAGCAGGGAGTACCTGAGGGAGAAAAGAGGGGTGTGTGGGTCCGCACTCAGGCGCATGGGCCGGGTCGGGAGCAGGGGCTGCGTCAGCAGAAGCGGCAGGGGGTACTGCTGGGCTGGGGGCGGCGTCTGAGGCAGGACGGGTGTGCTGGGGTCGGTAGGATGTGGTGCTTGGGCAGGAAGAGGAGCTGGTGTCTGCTTAGAGAAGCAGTGCTGCTCTATGGTGTTTAACCTGCGGTGTAGAGACTGTAGCTGTAGAGCCAATGATATCTGCTTCTGGGTGGATAAGCCAGTCTTCCATGTTGCTTGAAGACTGGGAGCGTGATCTGTTTCTCCTCCATCCTGTGTGAGTGCGAATCTCCGGGGGTCACCATTTGTGGGGTTATGGGATATTTGTGTTCTCACTCAGGATGGGATGGAGAAAGGAAACTCACAATGTGCTCTCTGTATACATGTTGTATTGGATGTACAATGCAGCTTGGTGCTGGGAAGGCAGCATGGTTACAAGCGTGATGTACAGAGCTGGTTGGTGAGGATGCTCAGAGGAGGACAGCTTGTGGATCGCCATACTCGCCGACGGGAGCGAGGACCGCCAGGCAGGCGGAGGAGGAAGAGTTGCTGGCTGGTTGGTGTAGGTAGAAAGAGAGCGGTCACCACGAGGTCAGGTCTTAAATAGCGGAGGTAGGCGTGGCTTAGTAGTTGACCTCCGTCATGTAAGGCGGCGCTGGTTGACCCAGACCACGAGGCATACACTGGGGAATTCGCGGGGTCGGCTACCCAGCTACAAACAGCATTTGTAGGGGAGAAATCCACTACAGTACTACCGCCTGGGAAGATATTTGGAAGCATAATGTGTTGTCTAATGGTAGACCCTGCTGCCATATGTGACCAAGTCCCAGGTTGCTGATCTGACTTTCTGCCTCATTTACACACAATTGCAGGGTTTCAATTGTTTCTCTTACTATTGACAACACAACATACATACTGTATATTGTTTCTCACACTTGATATATTTTTTCGTGTGTATTTAGTTGTGGATATTTTTAGTATTTTTATTTTTGGGTTATAATTTGTATCTATTTTTATTAATTATTATTAAATAATAATAATATATAATAATAATAATAAGAATATTATTATTATTATTATTATTATTATTATTATTATTATTATTATTATTACTACTACTATTATTATTATTATTATCATTATTATTATTATTATTATATTTTCGCCCCCCAGGCCTTGATGTGGGTCAGTGACCTGTGCTCGGGTGGGCTAATCCCCGCAAAAAAAAAAAAAAACACACACAGGTACCTGGCAACTTAGAGGGAGCCCAGCGAATGACTGACCTTGACGGACTGACCGCCGACCATTGCGCGACTGCAGCAGCGTCACTGCGACCAGTGGGCTTAACGCCGTTGTTATAAGATGGCATATTAACGAACTCCTGAGCCAATTTTCTCGCTACCAAGCTATTTTTTCTCTGGCATTCCCTCATATTTGTGCAGGCAAAAGGCTTCAAGACAGGTAGCATTAGAAAATGAGTTATATCCCAATCCCAAGCTTGAAAGATGCGCGCAGAAATAGACAACCAGAGATGATACAGCAGCACAAGCCTATAACACTTATAGTGTTCCACATGACTTATTTCCTTACTTAGTGTTATTATTTTTTAGAACAACATGAAAGGCGTTTGTTACTCTGAAATGACCTTTGTACTGGGCCCAAATTCTTAAAATTCAGTTGATAATTGTAATTAATGATGCTTGAAATATTTTAACGAACTGAAAATATTTAAAATGTCTTTTATGCCGTGTTCATACATTTTAATTCTAAGAGCGTGGCCCTGTAGACCGTCAAGAGGGAGGTTATCAAATTAGGCCACCTGAACTAATCTCCTGTGCTGGTGCGTGTATTGTGTCCCGGCGAGATTTGAGGCCAGGGTCGCAAACTGCTATCCCATGATGATACAGCCGGCTTACCCTACTTTTCGTATTTTTTCGCGGGGTAATATGTAGTCCTTTAAAAGCTTTTAATATCGTCTTAGGTCAACTAACAAGCTACTATGTAAAATGAAACCAAGAAAAAAAAGGCAACTCGTTTGACCCAAGGCCATCAAGAGTTTGTAAAAAACAAACCCTTATTGTGTATAGTTATACCCAACACTGAATCAGCCTTTATTGGACAGACAAATTACTGCAATTAATTAATTCCTAGGTGTTACCTCCTTTCTGAAGCAGGTAAAGCGAGAGTGTATTATTATTATTATTATTATTATTATTATTATTATTATTATTATTATTATTATTATTATTATTTTACAAGGATTAGCCCACCTTGGCATAGATCACGGACTCACATCATGGCCTGGGGCGAAAATGTAAAATCAATAACAGTGCAATATCATGTATCACACTCTTGAGTCACTCACTCTTGCAGCAATGAAAGAAATATGTTATGATCTTGTTTACCAACACTTGATACACTGTCACACACTATGGGAGGCCTCTGGCTCTACAAAAACACAACCCCTGATCACTGCACAGAAGAGAGTTGTGAGGACAACTTGAAAAAAGCACATTACACTAACGAACACCAGATTTAAAATATTAAAATTCGAGAATATTAGCACCTACTGTTGTGCCCGATTTGTTTATAAATCTCTCAATCATTTGATTGACAATAATTATTTCTAGTTCCGGAATAATCAGAGATACAACTTAAGGCACCCAGAGCTACTAAGACCATCCCCCATGCGCTCCTCTCACTCCCAGACCTCCATAAGATATCACGGTGTGAATGTGTGGAACAACTTACACCCACCTATCATCGTTAAAAAATACATATTGCCTAAGAATTAATATTTTTTGTAATACATACTCTATTTTTACCGTTATTGTATCACCAAAACCATTATATCAGAAATTGTCATGTAGACAGATAGAAATTACCATTACAATTATCCTATTTGCCGACAACGGCGACAAGACATATGATACTGACAGCTTCTGTCCTCTTGTTCTACCTTATATAACCCAGATATCAATTCCATTGTAAAATATGTATATATTCTTTGCTGACAACCACATAGGAAACAAGAAAACACGAAGTTCCCTCAATGTTACGTGTACAGTACTATTCCAGATGATACTAAATGTTTCATAAAACTTCTTGAGATAAATGTATAGAGTATATCAAGTGCCTAAAAGAGGTGCTCAGGTTCTCAACTGGCTCAGCCATGTTAATATTGTTATTATTATCCACTCTGTATCTTTGTTTTTCTGACTAAATAAATCGTTTCAATATCAATTAATATTTTCACATTAGTAGCGGATATGTAGTACAGTACTGAAAAGTTAAGAGTGATATCCAGTCAACCAAAAATAGTAAGTGATGAAGATGGGAGTGTGAATGATCGCTCCTGCATCTATGCGGGTTTTATGTCACTTATCATTCCTAATGAATGATTGGTCGAATTTTCCCGCAAGGAGATCAGGCGAAGCTAGGAAGGAGGAGAGAGAGAGGGGGTGGTAGGATAGCCGGGACTGTGGCGGCTCGGTTGGTGGTTTTCCAGAGTAGGCTCATGTGCTAGCGAGGTTTTCGCGATATTCTGAGGCTATCTGAATACGTGACAACTGACTACAAGACCTTTAACCACTAGTTTTATCCACCTGACCTTTTTTTTTTTTATTGGGCACCCCCCTACATCCTGTGTAAGGTGACGCGCAGAAGCGTTTACAGCGCCCAACAGGGAAGCATGCTAAGTTCATGCTTGCCTTTATGTCTCATGAGTTAAGGGCGTAGAAGCATGAAGTGTCAAGAGCGCAGAAGCCTGAAGAGTCAATCGTTTTTGTCATGAAGTTATTGGAAGCTCCAACAACTTTCCCTGAATACTAATTCGCAACTTTCTATTTACAGCAGGTACCTACGTTACTGCTACGTGAACAGGGACTAATTGGGGCTAGGAAGTATGTTCAAACAACTTTTCCACTGGCCCGAGAATCGAACCCGTGACATCTCGCTTGCGAGGCAAGAGCGGTACCGCTTCTACCACCGGCGTCTCCACCTCTGACCTTAGTGAGTCTACAGAACTCTTCGTCCTAACTAACAGAAACAGAAAAAGAGGTAGTGGGTATTATCTTAGCAAGATTTTCGATGATGCTCAGTCTCCCATTTCCTTAATGAGTAAGACACTAAAAATTGCAAAGATGCCATTCACTCATTTCCATGAATATATAAGCGGAAGATGATTAGGTGATTCCATAAGCTATCATGTCTCATTCCCTGAGCATTCGGTTGGATATTCTTCCTTAAGGTATCGTAGTGACAGACCGACCAGGCAAGCAGCACACCAACGCATATTATTTATCACGATTTACTAATCATGGAAACAGGAGAGAGCGCCACTGCTACTGAATCGGTAGCGCCTTCAACAACAGCCTTGCGATTTGGCTTTTATGCAGATAGGTATGAGAGGTGATCCTATTGTCCCATCAAGAGCACTCAGTGAAACATTATATATCTCCAGATGACTATAGAGTTCAACATATGATCAGTGATCTCCCGCAGTCACTTACAGTAATATTCTCTAGAAAGGCAAGCACGCCAGGAACATTATACGTTCTGTATCCAACCAACTGGCGCCTGGATCATCAAAGACATCCCCTTAATGTCTTAAACTAATCCAAGACCATCATAATGTGAAGTGATCCTATGCCTCCTTTAGGTCAAGGAAACAACCCTCTGCTATACCTCTTCTCAGATAGTGGACATTTTCTGGGTACATCTAAGTAGACCGCTCTATGTGTCCAAGCAGAAGATTGGATACGGAAAGTTATTACGTTGGAGGAACTAGCAAGGTGGCAGGCAGAGGATGAGATGCTCGCCAGCATTAAAGAGGTTGTGGTGGGAGTCCCTGTCCTCGTGCTACTTACATCATGCTACTTACGCCTCAGTGCTATGTTGTTTTAAAGTTCACAGATGAGTTCTAAGCTGCAGTGAAAACAATCGATGGATCTTCATTCTTTCTTCATTTTTCCAAGTTTGGGAAGTAGTTATGATTTTCCCCTTAGGACTACATTATCCAGAAATGAACTAACTATATGTACTCATCAAATAAAGTTATTAATAGCCAGAAGTTCAGAACGATCATGTTCTTGTCGCGATTACCAGACCGTTAAAACAGTAACCTTTAATATAATGGTCACTATACTAACACTCACACCAGATAACCCATATAAGATACAACATGTAGACGTTACATGTAGTCACGACAAAACTTATAATTTTCAGATCCAGTAAGTGGCCCATGAATAGTTAAGTGTGCCACCACATTATTATCCTCTACAGCCTTAATATAATATCAGGGAGAAGCCAAGGGAGCACCAGATCACCTAAATCGATATGACATCCTCATTGTCTGTCCTGCATCATACTTCCCCCAAAAAGTCATAAACTGTTACGTACATCGCTCTTTAAAGGCCATTGTTTCCCTGAATGTGTGGCAGAAAAAGTGTACGGGACAGCGGTTACTTACAGCCTGACTCTCATCCACACTACTGGACAGGTTCTGGCTCTTCCTAATATCAGGGTCGTCTCGTCTGTTATTTGTTTATTAATGCATCTCTCTAGTACCACCAGGCTCCTCTACATGGGAGGGACACAAGCTGTTGAGAAATGAGAACGAATGTACATAGGATGATATACTGGCTAAAACACCGTCCCTTAGTGTATGGTGCTGGGTAAATAATTTTAATGGATTGTAGCCGTGAAAGATAGACTATAAAATGCAGTGAGTTGAACATGATAATATTTTTGTACTATAATGGTAATACAGAAACCATGAAACTATCACGATATTGCCAAAAATATACTGTTATTGGCAATTATTACTAACACTGTACAAGTGTACACACAGGTATTTACAAGATAATAAATAGAAGCGTATAAAGAAACTTACTATATAAATATACTGTAGGTCAAACTCGTGGGCTGCTGTCAAGGTTTAACCTACACATTTGAAATTGACAAACAATAATAGTAGCATAGTAAACATGAAATGAAGCCCTCATATACTGCACACACACACACACACACACACACACCCACCACTAAGGACAGGATACCTTTAACCGCCCTGACAACACTTGAGGGAGGTCCTCTCTCACGCCGGGTGTTGCCTTTTCAAAGCTTGACCTCAATTTTTAACCTTTTACTTTACGGTGTACAAAAATATGTGGTATAAACTCTCTTTTTCTTTTCTGGAGTTATATTGTGGTGAAGACCTTGGCCATAACTTTTTTTGTTATCTTAAAATTCAGCAGCCGTAGGTTTTTGTCATGGTGAATATGTACTGTACACCAAGTATCAACACTGTGACTTTGTTTCCTACTATGCTACGGGCATACAGTACTTACATGCCTTGCAATGCCTTTTTCAAACAGTGACAAAACATTTTTCGACCCAAGAAATATAGCAAACTAGAGGCTGTCATGGTGC